GCGTCGGCCTGCGGACTGAAGGGTCCCAGGTTCGATTCTGGTCAGGGGCATGTACCTTGGCTGTGGGCATATCCCCAGTGGGGGGTTTGCAGGAGGCAGCTGATCGATGTTTCTCGCTCATCGATGTTTGTAACTCTCTATCCCTCTCCCTTCCTCTCTGTAAAATATCAATAAAATATATATTTTTAAAAATAAGGATAATCTTAGGAAAAAAATGTCAATAAAAACCACAATGCTCAATTATAAATACTGGACTCCAATACAATGAACTGGCTTCAAAGTTTTGCTTTTAAAACTGTGTCTATATATTCCATACAGATCTCAACACCTAATAACATCACAAGAGATGTTCTTAAATATGAAAAAATCTTATCAAATTGTCATTGCTTGATTTCATTCCAAGAAAAGCCTTGTATCTAAAAGTCTTCTCAACTGTTTTATGATTTACTGTATGCATTAACCTTGTGTTTTATGTTTTTCCTTCTATTTTCATAGAATATATGCTTATGTCCTTATTTATCTGATTATTACCAATATAAGCCTCACTTTAAAAGCCATCTGCATCACCATGTCCTAAAATAAGACTAAATGGTTTGGACTTACGGTTGAGTCAATAAAATATGGACAGTCTATCGACTTCACTTAAAACTGCTTTCCCTTTTCTCCCAAATGGTTCAGACAAACAGGGCCCACAATTTCTCACGGGAGAAATCTTAGAATATTTCCCTTAGCTTAATTTAAGTTAAATATAATAAACAAAAAACAGACAAATGTGATACATATACCTGAGGGAAGCCACTCTTCCATCCTAATCTAAAACACTGTAAAATTAATTCTCCCCTCTACCACATAGGTTTTGACCTCTCACCAGTCCTTTAGTTGCTATAAATCTCCTCACCTTTGAATTATGCCTTTTAACCTTCTTGCCAAGTTAGTCATTTCTAGAATACAACAAGAATGCCAGCTTGTCCAATGCATCATCCTCTAAACATCGACTATTCCACTTCCCAGAGACATCAAACTTACACTTTGCAAAATCCTTTCCCTTTTGCTCCCTCTTCCTCTACCAGATAGGGGAGTACCTCTAAGCCTTGGAATAGACAGGTCTATAACCTTTGATGGCCTAAAACAGTTACAAAAAAATAAAGACCTTCAGCCATTTACCCTTGTAATATTGCAAGGCTTAAGTTCTCTAAAGGGGGAATTGATACCACTGTACTTAACTAGTTATTAATAATAGGAAAGGAGCAAAGAGGGAAGGCCAGACATTAAACACATGCCATTTGGGCAGCTTCACCAGGAAGCTGCAATTCTGCACTCCCCAAGGAACCACTGGCCAATTCCCTGAAAAAAAAAAAACCACCACAACAAAAAACAACAGGGAAAGGGATCCAACAAAAGGAAGATTGATGCATGTTCAGTAAAGCTGGAGTGACACAGGGAAGGTACTTGTCTGTCAGTCAAACCCAGGGACAGAAATTATTGGCCAGATGGGCATGGCCACTGCAAGGTCATGAAAGTTTGGGAATACATGATTTCCTAAACAAAGGAGTTCTCTCTCTTGTTGCTCTTGTGCTCTTGGCTTCACCCACATTTCCTCCATAGCCATGTGGCACTGCAGTCCACACATGCAATGGACTGATGGACTGCAGCAGGGAACACAAACTAGCTAGCCTGATGCTGAATTGGACTCTGCTCCAATATGGAAAGGAAACTCTGGACACTGACTCTGATTTAAGATCTACTGAACCCCAGCTACAATAAAAGAAACCACAAGAAGTGGAATTTTAAAAATTATATTTAGTGACACTACATAGCATCATTGATATAGATGCATGGTTTTCTTAAGAAACAATTTCCATATATTTACATTTGTTCTCTTAACATGAGGTAGTGGTTTTTAAATTTGTTTATGTAATATGAATTTTCAAAGGAACTTTTATTTTATAAGTTATTTTTCCTATTTCATATGATGCTATATTTCATATGGTTCAGTGTTAGAAAGAGTGGCTTCTGTTGTCTTCCAATAGGAGGGCTTACCATCACTCCTGCTCTGCTGGGAGCTATCTGAAACAACAAAATAACCATCAATCTGCCCTCACTGAGCCTGAACTTACAAAGTGACAAAGCCTGAGAAATCAACAGGCCATTTCAGATTGAATTCTACTTTATACCATATCTAATATTCTTAAGGAAGCTAAATACAATTGTGGTATAAAGAAATGCTAATCAACCCTAGCAGGTTTGGCTCAGTGGATAGAGCATTGGCCTGGGGACTGAAGAGTCTGGGCTCCATTAAGGTCAAGGGCACATACATGGGTTATGGGTGCAATCCCCAGTAGGGGGAGTGCAGAAGGCAGCCTATGAATGATTCTCTCTCATCATTGATGTTTCTCTCTCTCTCTCCCTCTCCCTTCCTCTCTGAAATCAATAAAAATATATTTTAAAAAAAAGAAATGCTAATCATTTCAACTCCATTAAATTTACGGAAGCTACAATAGCAGATTTAAAATGTTGTGAACTGCAAAATGAGATGGCACATCATCTCTACAATATATTTGTGGAAGGTTCCTGTTTAGAATTACTGGTGGCCCTAACCGGTTTGGCTCAGTGGATAGAGCGTCGGCCTTCGGACTGAAGGGTCCCAGGTTCGATTCCAGTCAAGGGTATATACCTTGGTTGCAGGCACATCCCCAGTAGGGGGTGTGCAGGAGGCAGCTGATCAATGTTTCTCGCTCATCGATGTTTCTAACTCTCTATCCCTCTCCCTTCTTCTCTGTAAAAAAATCAATAAAATATATATATTTTTAAAAAAGAATTACTGGTAGATTTGTTTATTCAGATCAACACTCCCACTGGAAGCAAAAAAGCTAAACAAAATATAATTTTATATACTGTAATAAAAAACTCTGGATTTAACCATAAAATCTATAATAGTGCAGTTTTACCTAATCTTTTAACAGCTCAAATTTGAAATACTCATGTTAGGAAGTAATAAAATTGTGATAAATGAATTGAGGTATAGTAAACCCTGAAAGAAATTTACAGAAATAAGAGTCTTATTTTGTGTGTGTATTGTTCTAGTTTCTACATTTTACAATGTTCACATATAAGATATTTAAAGAGATGATCATCAGAGGAACTCAAACTTATTTCATTATGTGGAACTTTGGAGTGAAAGACTGAAACTGGCGGAAACCTGACTAAATACTTCACACAGCCCCTCCATCACCCTCTATTATGCAAGCTGCAGCTTTTCAAGCCGACTCCCTTATTTCACTAGTGAGCCCTGTCAACACTGAGGTAATAGAACTGGAAAAAACTCATCAATCCACAATGATATTCAAATATCAGAATATATTTCATTTTGTAAAAATTTTATCACTGCCAAATAAAATTAATGCAAATACAGTAATATATGCAAGATTTTGAGGAATTCTTTTTTGTTGAAAAGGGCTGGGAGAGCCTCAAATTCATCCTGCAATTGCTTAGGCATTCTTTTGCTTCTTTGAACCCTTCATGCCCCATCCCTTAAGTAAATAGGGCGGAGGTGGCTACAGAAGGCCAGAATGAACTAATCAGCATGCATTTATGCAGTTAGTCTACTCTAGCTTTATTCCCACAGGTTTTTCATCATACTAAGTTCCTCCAGGAAAAATGCTGTTTTATTCATCTCTAACCTCCAAAATGTATCCAAATGTCCTGCATATAAAGTCATCCCTAACGTCTACATGGCAGGCATTAGATTTGCAGTGATGGCGAACCTATGACACGCGAACTCATTTTTTTGGTTGATTTTTCTTTGTTAAATGGCATTTAAATATATAAAATAAATATCAAAAATATAAATTTTTGTTTTACTATGGTTGCAAATATCAAAAATTTGCTATATGTGACACGGCACCAGAGTTAAGTTAGGGTTTTTCAAAATGTTGACATGCTGAGCTCAAAAGGTTCGCCATCACTGGATTAGGGATTAGAAGTAGAGAAGTGAAAGAGAGATGTATCTCACCCTCATGGAAGGGGAATATTGAATATTGGCTGCATGAACAGAATCAAGTATTAGTGACCAGTTAGCACAGCCCCTTTGCCTATGTTCTTTTTTGCCTATTGCCAACCAAGACTTAGATGAGAAACAACATAGTCTTTCCCTTCAGGAATATAAATGTGTGTCTTCAGTCCTGATCATTCTCCTGAGTTCTATATTCATATACCCAAATGCCTACTCAACATACTAACATGGAGGTAGTTACAGAAATTAACTGCATGGACTCTGAAGACAGACTGCTTGGGTTTGAATCCCAGCTCCATCACTCACAAGCTGGGTGACTTTCGGCAAGTGACTTTTAACCTCTCTGTGCCTGTTTTCTCATTTGTAAAATGGAGACATACAACTGTTATAAGAATTAAATGAACTGATATGTAAAAATGCTTAAAACCCTGCCTACTAAACAGTGTATGCTTACATAGTGCTTACTATTATTATTAGCAGCACCAGTACTAGTGTTACTAGGCATCTGAAACTTGTCCAAAACAGAAATCATGATTTCCTTCTCAAACCCTTCTCCCTTCTCAATAAACAGCATTAACTTCCAGTTGTTCCAGCCTAAAACCCAAAAGTTTTAGGTTTTAGAGAAACCCACATTAGTAAGTCCACACCAGCAGCTCTACCTTCAAAAGTGTATCATGAATTTGACTACTTCTTACCATCTCTACCAACTACCTCCCCTAGCCCAAGACACCACCAGGTACAGCAATAGTCTCCTATCTTCCCATTTTTAAGACTCCCCATTCCATGGACCCTTCAATTAATATTCTACCTAATAAAACAGAAATCAGATGCTATTACTTTAATGCAAACCTTCCAACGGTTTTCCACCACTCTTAGAATAACATCTTTACCTCATCACAGCCTACAAAGGCCCCCACAGTCTGTCTGGCCCTCCAACATCATCTGCCATCACTTGCCCCTTTCCTTGTTGTTTTCTCAGCACTGTTACCTTGCAATGCCTTGGCACCTCAGGCTTGCTTCCACCTCTGAGCATTGTTCCATTGTTGTTCCTACTGTGAGGCAGTATTATTGGCTGGAGCATGGACGGTGAGGTCAGATTGCCCAAATTCAAATACTGTCTCCATTTCATTTTAGCTATGCAACCTTGAGCAAATTCTTAATCTTTCTGTGTCGGTTTCCTCATCTATAAAAATGGGAATGAGTACTTACTTCATAAGGTTGTTGTAATAATTTAATTAAGAGTGCCTCACATATAAGCTGTACATAAGTGTTTACTGCTGTTATTATTCCTCCCCGAAATGTTCCTACCTCAGGCTCTTCCTCCACTTCAATTGACTCAGCTGTCACCTCCTTTGAAAGGCTTCCCTGATAGACCTTAAAATAACCTGTCCTGTTCTCCCACTGTCTGTTTTTCTCTTATCTTCCTTTATATCACTTGATGTGTCACTATTTGAAATAATATTCTGTACTTACTCTTTGTTGCCTATTTCCCCATGGAACATGAGCTCCACTAGGTTGGAGATTGTGTCTTGTTTGCTGCTCTAGTTCTAGTTGTGACTTAGAACCTGACTTTGAATGCACACATCTCTTATTTCTCTTTTCCAGGCTTGGGGACCAATGAAAATTTCTCAATAGCAATAACAAACTTCATGATCTCATTTGATCCTTGAAAAAGCAACAGCAGATATACCATCATCTCCCATCTTAGAAAAGAAAATTCCAAGTTTGGGTGACTTGTCTTTAGACACAGAGCTAATAACTGATAGAACAAATATAAGGATCCCTGCTTTCTAAGCCTCCTCAAACCAAGATGGAAGGAAATTACACCCTTGAAACTGAATTTACAGAAATGTGACCTTTCAATCTCCTGAAGTGTGTACATGGTACATACTTTTGAGTATGGTACAAACTCATTAATAATGTATTAACACTTGGCAAGCCAAAAAATTCAAGGAGTCAGATATAATGATGGTATATTCTAAGTTTACACAGCAAAACCCCTAAAACTCACAGTACGTCTGTACTGAGCATAAAGTACTAGTTTCAACACTCTAAAAGCTTTCTCTGAAAAACCCAAAGGGGACTTCGTAATTGTCCAGATCATTGTGATAATGGTACCAGTGATTTCTTGATCCGTATTCCACCAAATTCAGTGATGAAGTTCAGACCACCCCCCAGGCTCAAGTGTTGTCTGGGATCAGATTAGCGAGGGGGGCAAGATGAGGAGGCAGAATTGTAAAAAAGGTCACTATCTACAAGACCTTTGTCAAATAGCCATTGGCCAGTACATTCTCAGAATAACCAATTGTCTTCATAAGCTTTCTTCCAGCAAGGTTACATGTTTGTATTACCTCACGTGCTCTCACAATTCCTATTCCTGTGGGAATGACAACTAGGAAGGCCAGAGTCTGCTTCAACGCCATTTTACACAAAAAGAAATCTGAGGCAGCAAGTGGGTATCTTTACAAATTGTCTTAGGCGATTTGGTAACTCCTGGGATCGCACAGGAAGCCTGGATATGGAATCTCTGAAGGAAACTTCTACCCTAGACTTAGCAATGTCAAACTCCTGGGCTGAAGGGAATCAAAGTCCCTCCGACAATGAAGAAAAAGGAGGACTCTCCTATTTGGCCCTTCCCCCTTGGATGACCTCGCTCCCAGGCTCTGAAAGCCCTACAGACACCAGAAGAAAAGGCTGGGGCCCCCGTGCAGCGGAGTGCAGCCTCGCCGCAGGCACTCCTGGCCCTCCCACCACAGAGGGCGCGCTCCCGCCCAGGCAGGCACCTGTCCCTTAGCCAGGTTCGGCGGCTCTCCGGTCGCACCAGGATCTAACAACCCACAGCCACTACCAACACCAGGAAGACGAGCAGCAGGGAGAGCCCCGCAGGCCCGGGGAGCTGCAGGAATCCTCCGAAACTTACAGTTTTCCTACAGCGTGCGCGTCACGGCGAGGTGACGTCACGGGACCCAGCGTTCGGGAAGGTCAACCCGCAGGTCACAGGACCACACGGTCCCACGGCTCCGCCCCCAGCGCGCCCGGCGAGAGACACGCCCCTTTCCTCAGGGCCCCGCCCCCGTCTTGGAGCTCTGGGCGCGGGCGCAGGCGCAGACGGGTTGCAAGGCCGCCCGCTGTGGGTGCTTCGCGCGTCCGGGTGCCCGGGGTGGGGCCGCTCGGGAGAGCTGCGTTCCAAGCGTGTGACCCGCAGCTGGGGCATCAGTAGAAGGGGGCGAAAACCCCCGGGAGCGCAGCAAACCAGCTGTTAGGGAGGGGTTGGGCAGGACGCCGGAGTTGTGAGGCAGATTTTCCACAGACACTGCTGTCTTTTCCTCACGTGTTCGTTAAAAGTTCTCCACGTGTGGGAACAGCCGTGTGCTCTCCGCCGGGTGCCGGCGGGTTCTCGGGGAGAGGTGTCAGGTCTCCATGGGCCCGCCCCGGCCCGGCCCGGCCCCGCCCAGCCCCGGGCTTCGCTCCAACCCGCCCCGCCCCGACTCGGCCCGCCCCGCAGTCCGCCCTGCAGGCTCCTCTCGCGGGTGCGGCGGGCGCCCAGCTCCCTCGCCCTGTCTCCTTTCAGTCTCTAGCCTTTCCCTGAGACATTTTAGTCTCTCCCCCTCCTACCGGATTCCCCGTGTGGGCTTATCTCTATTACATTTAATAGAAGCTGATCCGTGTAAACAAATATGTACACTTCTTCGCTGGTGTCAACTTTCCACCACCTCCCACTCGTGTGACGACATCTCGCGTGCCCAACCCCAGATTTCTGCTCTCACGTTTTCACCGGAGAGATCTGGTTTAAAGATGGCTCAGGAGAAGGAAAGGGCAGGCTCCAAGAACTGACAATGTATTAACAGAGCATTTCTAGCTTGTAGGATTCTCAGAGTACTCTGAAGCAGAAAAAATAATAGGTGTTAAAGTAAAAAGTGGCTGGGACAAGTCTGTCTTGGAGAAAATAAATTAAGTAGGAAAAACAGGCCTTGAAAATAGACCCTAAGTTGAAGGTAGCAAGGACACTTTTAAAAACTTCTTTGGAATCACGACAAATGGGTAGATGAGACCTGGGGTTTTTCCAGGCAAATCCAGTGTAAATAAAATCTGAAACAATGGTTCCTTTACACTCTCATTGAAAACAGTATAGTAACTCCATAGGAAAGAATGATGACAAGAATGTTAGTTTTTTAACTCAACATTAGTTAAAAATAAACACATCTATTATTTAGAAAAAGATCTACCTAAGTAATCAAAGTTTTTTAAAGTTTCTGTATTTTTAAAGAGTATTTGTACATTGTATCTTAATATAATTTCATATGAGATTTTAATTATTATCAACTGATGTAAGAAATTTGTGAAGTTTTTACATAATTTTTACTATAATAAGGTTTTGTTCTGTGGAGCAGTTAGAAAAATTAGCAATTTTTAAAAATTCTACATATATTTTAAAAAACAATATGTTTTTCCTTGCAAAATAACAAATTTAAGAAACCTCTAAATTGTTAATTACATTATTTACAGGTTTATAGTATATCATCCCAAAAATGAGAATTCTTTTTTAATGAGTCTAGATACCTGTCAATCAAAAGCTGCTGTCACCAATGCAATGGCAACAGGAGTCCCAATCTGGAGTTCAGTGAAAGGAGAAACTTTATTCAGGTAAACAGTTTGCAAACCCAAGAAACACAGCCTCCAGTAGAAACCAAAAATGTGTTCCCCGGGGACAAAGGGAAGGCCACAATATAGAGGAATCTTCACTATTTTCCAGTCTATCTCCATATTCTGCTTCTATTTCATTTTTTTAGGTGCACACCATGATCCACTAAGTTGGTTTTGTGACCTATTAATAGATTGCCACCCTGAGAAACACTAATCAGAATCCAAAATATAAAGATCAGATTGTATCACATGTAATTAGGGTAATTTTTTCCAAAACACAAATTTTGGGGAACTAGTGTTTTAATAATGTATGCATAGGCTAGGTTGCTATATTAATATATTTCTAAGCTGGATCTCAATAAAAAAAATTAATACTATTATTACCTCCCCTTCCCTGACTTCTATGCATATTTCATTTTTCAGAATCAAAACCAAGAGAAACCAAATTCCACTTACAAGCTCCTCACATCCCTCTCAGCTCCAGGATCTGATCTAAGACATGTCTTCCCAAATAATCAACAAAATAATCAGGTCACTCCTATATCCAGAAAGGCTCTTGTCTCCAGCGCAAACCCAATAGTGTACTAATACCCTAATATAATAAACATCCATAAAACAAGATTATGAAAAATAAAAAGAGGTTGTTCTGAGAAAGGAGCAGAGATAGGGAGCTTGGTGGAAAGACCTGGGACAGAGATTGGAGAGCTACAGAGGGATGTATGTTTAATGATATACATGCACACTCATACACATGTCGGCTGTTACATGGTTTGCAAAATATTTCAATCTCGTCTTATCACTTCTCTGCCCTCATTCTGTTATGCAGCTTATTCTCCCCACCCTTTTGGTCTCTACTCCACAGGAACTTCCTCAGAGAAGCTTTCTCTAGTTTTCCTTTTCTCTCAGCCTCGAAAATTATTTTAATTTCCGCCTCTGCTAGACTGTACGCTCTGTGAGAGTAGGGACAATGCTCATCTTGTTCAACCTTAAATCCTCTACTCGTAGCTGAGTACCCAATCCTAAGCAGGTACCCAGTATATATGTGTGGAGGCATGAGTGGATGAATGAACTCAAATTCAAAGACCAGCTAGGTTTCTTACTCAAAATACTAGTTAATTTCTAAAAAGGGGGTGGGGGGACATTGTGTTAATTGAAATAATACTGAGAAGAAAATCTTTTAGGAGGAAAAACATTTTGAATGACAATGCAGCAAAACACTGAAAGGGTCAATTCTGTTATTAACTGGCTACTTTTGTGCACTTCCAGTAACTTCTCCAAACCTCAAAGGGGGTTAGGCTCACCAAATGTTATTTGTAGTAAATGTCCTAATAGAGTGTTACCCCTTTGGGGAACTCTGGGAAATCAGGAGAGATCACCTGAAGCCTTATTTGCATGAAGTCCCCTGAAAGAACCTGACAGGCACTGGGTTCAGTTAATCCTCTTAAATCAAAGATGTCAGACAAAAGCTTCTCCCAACATGAAGAGGGTGGGATGTGGGAGTGAGGAGGGAAATGGAAGACAAGTAACTAGTATCATTGCTCTGAGGAGCCAAGTTCATAATTGAGTACAGGGCCAGGTGCATGCTTTTGAGTATAAATCTGAAAAAAATCAAGCTGACTTTGTGGTTGTGTTGGACTGGAGGGGAGGGGAGGAAAGTCCAGGAGAAAGAAGAGGGTGTCAAAAAAGATAATTTCCCAAGGAAAAATCCCTCACCTACTACAGCACAGCAGACAGAAAGAATGTTTCCAAAACAGGCCTCTAGGTGTTTGTGCCTGTTCTTTCTCCTTGGATTCTGTTTTCTCCCTTATCTCTTGGAAAAGACCTAGTCTTTCTTCAAGTTTAAGTTCTATCATTAATACCTCTGCTAATAATAGCAAACCTTTCTTGAGCACTTACTTAGATCAAAAGCACTGCTGAGCACTGTTTGAAATCTTTATTTAAGCTTCAAACAATTTTTTTCTTAGAGGTACAAGAAATAATGGTGTATCTTTTAATTGATGGCATCTCTGATTTAATAACAAATAGTATATTGTATTATAATTGTTTATACTTCTTTCTCCCCCCACTAAACTATGAACTCTTTGAAAACAGAGACTGGTTTACTCAATTTTGTGTCCTTAGCACCTAAAACAGTTTCTGGCACATAAAAAGCATTTGACAAATTTCTTTAATTCAGTTGAAAAAGAAATGCCATCTTCCTGACAGGGTGACAGGTAGGTGCAATCTCAGAGACAAAGTCATCCCTGTGTCAACAAAAACCGTTGTTTATCCCCAAGGCCTGTTGGCCTGGGCAAACAAAGTCACAACTTCTCTGCGTTTCATTCCAGATAAGTGCTGTCTAACTCGAAAAGTATATGGTAGTCCTCCAACATGTCATTTGCTCTATTTAACAAATTGTCATTTATTATGTTTCCTTTACGTTGGGTTCAGGTGATTTTTAATCAATGAGAACAGTTATATTAAAGCCAAATTAAAGTAATTCTTTAAAATCTGATTTTGCAAACTCAGATCCAATTACATTTAGACTATAAACTGAAAATGATACTCAGCTCATAGAGATGTTTGATTTGGTGTGCATTGTGTTTTTAAATTTTTTAATTGACCATTAAAAGATAACACATTTAAAAAGCAAGTATTTTGGCTTCTTTTTAAAAAATCAGAAACTCTGATGATATTGGCCCCCATTCACTCAAGGCATTCTTTTTTGGAAGGAACCATTACCTGGTTCAGAGGCAATGTTCCCTATTTTCTCACAACCCCACATGTGACTATGTAACTTGGCCCCTTTAGGCACTAGAGTTTATGGTGGATCTTGAAGTGAAGGGCTTGCTTGATTATATAAGTCTCTAATTTAATAAGGGATATAAAATCTGTGAAATGAACAGCTTTGCCCGGAAATTCAGTAATGCTCTACGTGAATAATTTTCAATAATCACATTTGCTTCTACAAATAGATTTTTCACAATTTTTATATCTGTCTTCTAGAGAAGAAATGTTTTTATAAGGTATATTGCTTTTTTGGTATTTAAACCAAAGGAAAAATACTTAAGAAAAGTTGAAGAGCAAAATAGAAGATTGGGTTCACAGTGTTGCCCAATATATGCGACTGCTGTATTGGATGCATTTGAAGAACACACACTCTTATCCAGGTGGTAATCACAGTCACTTTTAAGTTACACCTAAAAGCAAGCTCTGAACTTATATAGAACAAGCATATTTAATTACTCTATTATTTTGGTGAGATTCTTTTAACCAGTCATACAGTAGTTACTGCTATTGACATTAGCATTAGATTTGGTTACAAGTGACAAAAAAACACCCCAGGAACAGGCTTTAACAAGATTGAAGTTTATTTATTTTATGTCTGAAAATGTCTGGATGTAGGTGATCCAGGGCCATTTTGCCGTAGTGGTGTCAGGGACTCAGGCTCTTTCCATCTTGTTGCTTAGTCATGCATGACCTACATTTCCAAAGTCACCTCATAGTCCAAGAAGGCAGCCTAGCTCCAGCAATCCCCAGAGTGCAGGAGAGAGAAAGGCCAGAATATTCTGCATCTAGTACTCCTTAAATCCCACTTTTCCCAAGAAACTTTCTTCAGCTAATTAAGAGACGACTGATAATTTATCTTCTATATTCACTTAAAACCTACTAACACCAGACTTCAATCATTTAAATATTTTAAAATGTACTTATGGCTCAGCCAGTGTGTCTCAGTGGTTGAGTGTTGACCCA